ATCTCCTTCCATAGACCAACCCGACCCTCCACAGGCAGGAAGCACTAGGTGGGGCATGGGAGGCCCTAACAACTCGTAGACAGTGCAGAATGGCAGTCCTTCAGCACAGAGCTGACCCCACAAGGATTCACGTCCGGATTCCTCCACTGCAGAACTCGGCTACCCCGGTTCTCCACAATCCCAAACCCAACCCTTTCCAGTGAATTCGGACTTATGACAACTTTATATTATCAAGTGCCAACGAGTCGGTCCCACTCATAGCGCTTCTGCACACTGTGTCCAGGGAGCGGCTGGTGGGCTTGAACCGCCGATCCTGAGGACAGCGGTGCAGTGCTGATCCCAGGACGCCCACGGACTCACCATTCCCGTGCTCCACCTTCAGAAAATCTAAGAGCAGGTTCCCGACAGGACCTGGAGCTCCGAGGATTCAGGCCGAAGGACGGGAGTGGACACGGAGCTCGGGGCACGTTGAGAACAGATGCACAGCGGCCATCCGCGCCTCCAATCCTGGTCCTTTGTGGAGCAGAGTCACTGACTAGGCTCCTCTCCCTGCTCCACGTGTGAGACCGGAAATGGAAGGGAGGTGGGCGGAGTCCGCGGGCGTGTCCCAGGTGTAACGCCTAAATTACAAAAAGAAACACCAAACCTGAGCCCGGAATGTCACGGAGGATGGTACCAGGTAACGGGGATTCCACACTCAACGACCCGGGTCCCCTGACTCTACAGAATGTGAAGAGCACTTTGTTCCGTAAGGACCCACACCACGTCACCAGAGGACCTAACGACATCTACAACCCTGCTACCCTCGACCTTTAGTCTCCGGGAGGGCGGAGAAGAGACGAGGGCGCTCAGGAGAGAGGGACCTGAGCACTCTGAGTCTGCGGGGCGTCTGCGGGCGGTGGGGCGGAGCCAGCCGACGGGAGACATAATGCACACGTACCGGCAACTGGAGTAGAAGGAAGCCCAATGAGAACTCAAACTTCCGTTTACGGTATTTGTGCTGGTTTGGTGCATCAGAGAAAAGGTTCCGTGCGGAAACATACAGGAATCTCGCTGATAGTTATCGTAGTGTTCAAAGGATTCTCTGGCATTTGGAATCTGGTCCAGATTGTCCTTGTTCCCTCTACGGAGAAAAGCATAGGGTTTCTTCAACGAGAATATGAAGGGAAATGCGGATTTCTATCAGGCAACCTACGATTCGTGCACAGAAAGCTCCGAAGTTCATATTTGACCCTTTGAAACAGATTTACTGCTGTTGGCAGTTTCTTCGGACTTCATAAACATTTCCCCGTCTTGAATTGCTTGTGTCTCTAGTTTGGCTTGTTTCAGGGATTGTCATCTCTTGCATATCACCTGTCTTTCCCCAATGGCATGATTCACACTAATAGGGACAGCCTAGGGGGAAGGGGACAGGGAGCAGAACCTGAGACCACGGTAGAAAAAAATACCGTCAAGTTTGAGAACAAGCAACCCAAAACAAGAGCGAGTCAGATATTCTGTCAAAACAGAAAGAGGAACAGACTACAAAGAAAACAGAAGGTGTATCACCCCATTCCTGATAAACCTGTGTCCTGTTACTAACAATAAAATGAGCACTCCTCTACTCTAATAAGACAATCAGTGAGGGCCAGCCTCAAACCTGCCCCTGGGGGAGGACATCTGGGACCAGTAATAGAAAACTGTACTTAATCCAGGATCTATAATCCACAGGGACTTTACCACTCACACAGACAGACCCAATTCTGTCTTTGAAGTGTGGTTTTGCTGTGCAAAAACGGTTTCTGACCGAATGCTTGTCGTCTGTATGGAATTCAGAGGCAGCGATTCAGTTGAGGCTGATTCTTCATACTCGTGACAGAGGGGGAGGAGGGAGAACCTAGTCTCAATCTCTATAAATGGTGAAGACGCTGAGAGAGTTTTCCAGGGTTTGAGGTAGGAAGATGCCAGCTGTTCTGAAGGCCAATAGGTAATAGCAGAAGTACCTTTGAAAACAGCAGTTACAGATTTTTATTTTTCACATATGTACTTAATCATAATGTGCAGTGATCTTCGGGGTACAACATGATCAGTATCAATCTTGATACACAGTCGTAGAATCTACTCTGCCATAGAGTATCATCACTGAGTGAAAAATAATCCAGGAAGACATGGTTGGGAAAAGTGAAAGGAAAGACTTAGCAGGGAGACTTGGAGAACATATATGTGGGTTACATACATGATTGATTAAGGTGCTTCTTTGCAAACACTTGCTCTTCTGTGTGTTTCACTAAAGTTACAGGACAATGGTAAGACAGGTCTTGGGGGGAGAAGTGGGCTAGAAGCATTGGCAGTGAGGACCTCACTGGACCATGATCTCAGCACTCAGCTGTCCCCCATCAGTGCCGTGAGTGTACTCAAAGCCGGTACACTCACTAGAAGCAAAATGACACCAGAATCACCCATATCCAGCAATGCTCATAAGAACAGCTGCCCACACCAACGTGGATGCAACTCAAAAGCATCCCAAGGAAAGTCTCTTAAGAACCAAGACAGAGGAATACTTCAATTGACAGAAAGCACAAAAGAGGCAAACAAAATAGAATTCATGGATTAAAACTTGAAGGATTAACCATAATAACATCATGTCAGTGATTTGGAGGACAAACACTGACACTGTGTTCTAGCGTTACATAAGAATACAGTTGTTATGCCATCAAAGTGTGTCCTACCATCATCCTCTCTGTGACTTTTTAGCACCAGATAAAATAAACACTCTCCTTTGTTTGAGAAGGTCATATAAGCTAAAATGAAAAATACAAAACAAAAACAAATCTAAGTGGAAACAGCCCAGCTGATGTAGAAATTGTCTTTCAGTAGAAACTGTAACCCTACAAACTTGCGTATACATATCTCATCTGTTGGGTTTCTGTAGCAAAAGAAAACACGATAATTTTAGGTTCTAATTCAAGATACTGTACAATAGTAAACCGTTATGGGAATTAAATACCAGCTGTTGTCCTCATGTGGCTCTGTAGGATAAGCACTGGACTTCTAACCATAAGGTTCAAATCCAACAGCTGACTTTGTGACATTTAGCAACTACAGGAAGGCATATGGTAGGGCACAAGGAACTAGATTGGAGAATTCATGCTTTTCACACACCTGAAATCCTTAAGGAAAAGCATTTCCCACTGAGGAACCAAAAGAAAATAAAAAAATGGGACTGAAGTCTCCTCATAGAATCCGGCTAGACTCACTGAGCTTTATATGTTTGGT